GCTGTCAGCGCAGCTTGGGGTGCATGTGCTGCCGGGGCTGGGTGTGTCTGGCGTAGCCACAAGCGCCGGGCATGTCGCCTCTGACCCGGCAGCGGCGCTTTCGGCTGCGCCAGCGGCGGCGGCGGCGGCAGCGGGAGGAGTGCCTGGCGCGCTCGACCCGGCGGTATTGCTGGCGCTGCAAGCGCAGCTTATTGCCAACGGGGGCGCCGTGCCGCTGGCCGCCGCGGACGGCAGCAGCGGCGGCGGCGGGGCGGCGGGCCACGCCAACGGGTGGCCCGCGGGGGCAGTGGCAGGGGGTGCCGCAGACGAGGGCGGCTTAGGGCAGCTGGCGGCGTTGTGCGTGCCGCCGCTGGTGGTGCCCCCGATGGGGCCGATCGTCGAGCAACCGAGTGTTGATGAGGGGCAGGCGGAGGCGGAGCGGCAGGAGGAGCAACAGCAAGTGGAGCACCAAACAGAGCAGCTGACAGAGCAGCAGCAGCAGCAGCAGCAGCAGCAGCAGGAGGAGCGGCAGCAGCAGCAGCAGCAGCAGCAGGAGGTGCGCCTCTCAGACAAAGGGGACTCTGATATGGCGGAGGCGGCTGGTGCAAACGACGACGCGGCCACCTAGCTGCTGCCGGGAATATTTATGCACAGGGGGTTTATTTCAAGGTTGCGCTATGTGGGGCACTCGGGTGGCTGGCTGTACAACACTTGCTTTTTGGTTCCTGCTGCAGCAGGCATCAGGCGTTGGGCGTTTGCTCTGCGGCCGCTGAGATGCCCGAATCTGTGATAGCATGGTTACGCCCACAAGCCGTGGGCTTGTGGTGACGCGCACGCTGGATGATATGTAACACACTCGGTGCGGCTGGCTGACGTGGCCCGCGCAGCTTGAGCGGACGTCCATAGCACCGCTCGAGCCTGCCGGGCTCTTACAGTGAGATGGCGCAGCGCAGGGTAATCAATTTCTATGTGCAGAAGAGTTAGATGGTTGCAAACTAGAAGGGAGGATTCTGCGTTGAACTGGTACTACAGTAAGCGAGGGCGGTGACATACCCGTAGTAGCAGTGACAAATGACGACTGTGACATCTCCATTGTAAGCTGCGGCTCGCTAGTAGACATTCCAAAGGTGAATGGTCAACCACCGTGGTGTACACGTGCACGTTTTAATTTCCCCTCACTCCACCCGCGGCGGGTTGGAAGCTTGGAACAAAACTCAGTGCTCTTGGTGAGGTGAAGATGCTGGCACCTCCATGGATCCATGGTGCACCGGCCCCGCAAAGGCAACCTCGAATCACTGGGAATTTTGGCAGTCGGTGTTCAAGGAGTTTTGAAAACATAACTTGTGGTTTTGACAATCGCACTTGCTGGGCAGCGAGGGAAATTTCCTTTTGTCACCGGCACACCACATATTACGTGGCCACCCTCGGCTCAGCAGAACACCACGAGCTCAAAGCAACAGGAAACATCTCACCGGTTAGCCTGCTGCGCGCGTGTCGCCAGGCGGTGGGTCTCGACCGAGGGAATCGATCTGCTGGCTTGCTTTATGCGCCTTTTCCGCGCCGTCGGCCGGAATCGAGATAATTTTCACTCAGATGCTTCTGCACCCGCTGCTGTGCCACCCCATGCGTGTCCCCACCTCTGTCGATTGCCGCATGCGCGCAGGCGCTCAGCAGGCATCGCTCGCCATGCAGCCCCTGCCGCCGCGGCTGGCGGGGGATGCAAGGCAGCTGGTCAAGTTCCTGAGGGAGGTGGGCTTGGTTTGCGTGAGGCACCAAGGGCCTTTCATACCATGCGGCCTGCCGACAGCACAACCGTTCTGCGGTCCCCAGTTTCTCCCTGTCTGCAGCTCCACGCACCTGCCGCCATGCACTCCAACCCCACCGCCGCCACCAACACACGTGGCATGATTGCAGCACATGCCTCAATTTGGCCCTCCTCTTCGCGCATCTGCGTACAGGTGGATGACTGCCCTGCACTCTACACGGCCCCCGTCGCCGCCGCCGCCGCGGAGCGCTACGAGCGCTGCTGGCTGCCGCTGCTGGAGAGGCACGGGCGCGAGAGGCGCCACCTGGGCAGGCTCGCGGCGCCGCTGGACGTCGCGTGGGTGTGGCTCGTGCACACACTGGCGCCGACGCACTATGCAAAGGTGGGTGTGTGAGCTAGGCGCCGCGCCCTAAGTTTATCAATGCCCTGGCTGCTGGCCCGCCGCCCGCTGCGCACCAGCGGCTGCTGTGCAGGGCAGCCTTGAGTCTGTGACGCTCCTCTTCGCACGGCCCTTTGCGCCCCTGCCGCTCCCCTTTCTGACCACAGCAACACAAAAAAGCTGTGCCTGCAGCCGCAGTCAAAGCTGCTGGCAACCGCAGGCCGCCCAACGTACAGACCCTGTATCCCTACCCCAACGCCTCGCCCCTCCCTCTATCCCTGCCCGGTCCCAACGCCACCACAGGACTTCTGGGCTGTTGTCGGCTGCGCCCCCTGGCCCCGCCTGTGCCCCACAGACCGCAGCACTTGTGCGCTCCGCCGCACTGCAAAGCTGTGGGCAGCCGAGTTTCCAGACGTCCCATTTGACTGGCCGGCGCCAGCGGCGTGTGAGGACCTGTCTTCGAATATAGGCAAACAGCCTTGTGCAGCGGGAATAGATGGCGGCGCGGCGCGCCTGCCGCTGGAGGAGCGCGGGGACAGCGCGTGCAGCACCGCGGCGGCGGCGACGGCAGCCGCCGGGGCCTCTGCTGTCAAGGGTCGCCTGGCGGCCGCGGTGGCTGCAGCGTGTCCCAAGGATAGCCGGCTGTCGTACGACCTCGTGTCGGCGGCGGCCCGCCAGGCCGACTTCTTTTTCCAGGTAGGTGTGCCCGCCACGCCCCGCCCCACTCCCTCCCCTTGACTGGCCCCGTCTCTCGCTTGGGGCCGGCCAGGCGAGCCGGCCCGCCAGGTGTTGCGCGCGCCCCTTCACCAGCACATGCGCACCGTCGGCAGTTGTCCGTCAATCACCAAACCCTTGGATGGTGGAGGGTGCTGCCAACCGACGCACGCGACCGCGCACAGGTGGCTCTACCCCACTACAAGAAGCTCGCCTTTCTGGCGGCCGCCGTAGAGCGCTACGCCTGCTTCTTCAGCCTCAAGGCGCGCAGCCGCCGGGGCAGCGGCTGCAGCGCTGCGGCGCGCATGTGGTGGACGGGGCCGCCAGCTGAGCCCCAATCTTGCTCCTCTCCTGGCCGGCCGCCCTCTCGACGTCACCTTTGTGTCGTTGCCCCGCGCCGCGCCTTGCATTGCCTGCCTGCGCGCAACGGCGACCCTCCGCGCCTCGCTCCCCTCCGCCCACGCACCCTCGCCAGGTGCGCGACCCGGGGCTGTTCATCGTGCCGCCCTACGATATCGACCTTGTATGGCATGCACACATGGTGCGTACCGCATGCACCCCACC